TGAAGCCCGAAAGACTTACTCAGCTCGGCAGCCAGTCTTTGCGAAGCGCGATTCGAGGTTATCAGAACTCTAAAAAAACCCTAAACTTTAAACCCTAAGCCCCAAGACCCCTGAATCCTAAGTGTTACTCGCACACCACACTCCCAGTCCCACCCTCACTGCACTCCCCAAAATCCCACAACTTGAGACCCCGGATCCACTATTTTCTGCACCCCCCGACGCCTTGAAAGTCTGAAGCCCTAAACCCTAAACCCCGCAACCCCGAAACACCCCCCAAAACCCCTAAACTACATCCCTTATAGATCCCTTAACGGAACTTCCAGGTACCCTGAACCCCTTAACCCCCAAACCCCGAAACCCTAAGCCCAAATCCCGACGCCGTAGAGTCGGAAGGCTCTTCCTGATCTGCATTTGCTTTGCCGAGCGACCGGGCAGAAGCAAAGATGGGTTTGGAGGATCTAGGGACTTAGTAAGTATGGTTATAAGTACTTTAATTGGGGTGTTAAGTCACCATACCAATAATTACCGTGTTTGGAAGCCTAGCTACTCGGTCCCATGATCCTCTAAGGAGGCTGTAGTCTTCAAGCAAAGCGGGGCTTACTGGTGTTTGGGGTGCAGAGCGTGGGGTTTGCATTTTCGGTGTTTAGGGTGTAGGGTTCAGGAAAACCACTCAAAACTTCAACCTGGAACTGCTTTTTAAGGGTTGCAGGAGGCGTTCGAGGGTTTGGGGTTTAGGGAAGATGCCGGGTTTTGCATGGAGGGGTCTGGAGCTTCGATGTTCAGGGCGTGGGCGTGAGGGTTTGGTCTCCACGCTGCCAATATAATACAGAAGCCTGAATACTTAGGAATAGCATTTTGAGGGTTCCTTATTTGCAGCTTTGTCTGATAATGCCAAACCGCGTCCATCCTACACGCGAACCTCATATCCCTTACAAAGTTGTGACTTGGCCGTGTCTCGCTAGGCGGTGACACTGGCCAATCTGTTACATAGCGAGCAAGTGTGACTCCTCCACATCCCGAAACTGGGAGCCGTTTTTACTTTCAATGATGAGATCCAAGCCAAAAATACGAAGCTCGCACTGCTAGGCCCTGGCCCCAAATCTCAAAACTAATGAATCAATCCTAACCTACAGCTCTAAACTCCGAACCGACATCCGTACATCCAATACCCTAAACTCCAAGCCCTCACCCCCCCAAAACAAGCCCGAAACCCGAAACCCCCAAACTCGAAACCCCCAAACCCTGAATCCCCAACCCTATACCACCAAACCCCAAGGATCGTCATCCTCGTTCCCAACATCCTCACCGAAGTGGCCATTGACCGAGGCTCGCCTGTTTCGTAATGTACTTAGTAGCTGAGTGGATACACTTTACACTTTTTCGGATAATACTACCCACAGGATAAACCTGAAAGTGTACACTTTTTGGGGCTTATGAATTCAGCAACTAAGTATAATTGTCATAGGGTTTCAGGGTTTTTGCCTGTGAAGGGCCTTAGGGTTTAGGGTTTCATGCAGGCCCGGTGTAATAAGTTTAGTCTAACTCCCTGCCCTTCAGAGGGGGGCTTGCGGAGGGATCCTAATCTTAGGCCCCTGAAAGAAACGCGGTTTGTCAATTATGATGTCGTAGGGCTCCGTGTGAACACAGAATGCCCTTCTAAATTGCTAAGACCCTCTATGCTACTTTACTGTAGTAGGTTGCACGCTTCTTGCACAGAGACTTCAGGACTTGCGGGGCTGGTTGGAATTAGGTGTTGGGTTTACAACGGGTCTTCAAGGTTTTTCCTTGTTGTGGGGTTGAAGCGGTTTCAAAGGGTCGAGCATGATGATAAGGCGTTTGAGTTTGTGAAGGTGGGCATTTTAAGGCCCGGGTGTGTTCAGGGCGGCATGGGGATTTCGGGTCTCAGATGTTGTGTTTTAGTGACTGAGCCGCATGCCAGAAGCCTTCCTGCCCCAAAACTGGAACGTTTCGGACCTCGGAGCACCAAATCCCACATCCCCGATGTTGTTTCGCTGTCATGTATGTCGTTTCGACAGGCGTTGCTTCGCAGAAAGACACGTCAGTACATGTTAAATAAAAAAAAGAACCCCCGAACCTCTACCCTAAACTCTTATCCCTGAGCGCTCCAAGCCTCCCTGGCCTTTCCACTGTGATGCACGACAGTACTCAATACTTGCAACGACATCCCTAAACCCTATACTTTAGGGGTTCATGTTCCGGAGACTGGAGTGGTTAGGGATGTGGTTTTGGGGTATACTTTCGCCCCGCAGATGCCAACAAATTCCCACACCCCTACACTGTGTTTCTGAAATTGGCTGGGCTCTCATTTCGGAGTCCTCGTATGTGACTCCGATTATGTGGAGTCCAATTCAAGGGCGCCCACGAGTGTCTCATGCGGTTTTAGCACTTAGGGCTCCCCATGCCTACCTTGTCTTGCAGCACAAAAGTAGCTCGACACACGCATTTCTACAACGGTTTCTGTACAAGCTTTGCATCCGCAAGGGCAACGATGAAAACCGCAACATGTGGAGCGAGGAATGGGCCAGCGCAGCTACGCGCAACAGCTGGTTGTCAGCGCAAGACTTCTTCTTGGATTATTGGGTCAAGACAACCCCCCAGAACTCCCATATCCCTTAATTAAGGAATATTCCTTAATTCATATTAGGGATCCTAGTATAATTTAAGGAATATTCCTTAATTAAGGGATATTGGAGTCTCTGGGGCCGGGCGCACAGTTTGCCGCATTTTTCCACAGTCCCACGGGAAGCTTCAAGTACTTGGAGGATCATGGGACTAAGTAAGTAAGGTTATAAGTACCCTAATTTGGGGCTGTAAGCAATTATAAATATATTTGCCTTATTTATAACCCTAATCACTAAGTCCCATGATCCTCCAAGTACCGTGAGGAGTTTTCGGCGTCGCTGCCTGTTCCGGAAGACGGCAAGTCATTGAACAGCAGATTCAGGAACACACATGTTAAACGAGGGGCGTTTCTGCTATGGAGGGGCTATTGCACAACCTGGGCCTCAAACCCTAAAGCTCAAGTCATACAGCTTTCCGTCCCCCAGCAGATGAGCCCGCCAAAGCTAAGCGCGGAATGGTCTTTCATCAAAAGAGAGGCAGTCCTGAAGGTCCAAGCGCCCAGTAGTCAATAATTAGTCTTCTACAGTCTCAAGTACGGACCTACATTACGATGCGAAGCCCCAATAGCTAACAATTGGGTCCCTTCGGCCCCTTCAGAACTCTACATGTAAAGCCCCCATAACCTCAAAATCCCCACGACACCCTACAAATCATCTCGCAGGCAGGGATGGTGGGCTTTGGCTGTTGTTGCGAGGTTTCACGGTTTGGACTAGTCCACAGCTGACAAGGACACTTGTTGTGAGTCGTTCGCTGTTAAACCCTAACGCCGAACATCAAACATCCTCATTACACGGTTTCGATGTTGGGTTATGGGGTTCGATAAGGGGGTCCCCTTACAAGGCTTAGTAGCTCAGTGGATACACTTTACACTTTTCGTTTTAATATTATGCACGATAAAACTGAAAGTGTACACTTTTGGGGGCTTCGTGTTTGTAATTATGGTATAGTATACCCCCAGAGCCTTTGAGGGCTCTGTAACAGGGTTTCCTTTAAAGGTCCTGGCCGACCGGCTTAGAAGCCTCGTAAGCCTAGCGCGCAAAGCTAAGACCCTCTTCTTGGAGGATCATGCGACTTAGTAATTGGGGGTATGAATAGCGTAGCTATAGTTATAATTACTTATAACCCCAATTAGGGTGCTTATAACCTTACTTACTAAGTCCTCTGATCCTGCAAGCTCAACCCCAAGCCCCCAACCTTTCAAGCCCGAACTTTACCCACAAAGCCCGAAACATCGTAAATTCCAATCAGACAAAAAAGCCAGTAGGGTTTAGGGTTTAGTTTATCAAGACGGACAAGACCTGACACGTAGAAGAGCGCCAGGGCTCTACGCGCCGATCCTGCGCACAGTTCTCTCGGTGGTGAGGCGCCTGCCACGCCGTCTTTAGATTTTGAAAACATGGTGTTGTTTCGCCATTCTTTAATGGGGATCTGTTGATATATCGGGTTTCATAGGGCTTGGGGTTCTGCATGGGTTAGCGAGTTGGCTTGGAGTTCAGACTGTACAGGGTGTTCAGTCTTGAGCGGTTTGAGCAACACTGGAAAGCCAGCAGAAGGTCGGCAAAGCTTCGCATCAGACATCATGCTGATGCCACTATTGCCGAAAGCCAAGCAAACAGAGCTGTATGAGACTCGGGGCTTTGCGATGAACGACATGACGGACTTTTGTCTCCCCGAAGAGGACAGGTTGGGCAATCCGGCCCGCGCAAGCCAACCTCGCAATGTCATTCAGTCGGGCAAGATTCTCGGTCTTCCAAGGGCTGGGACGCGGCCAGGGCTGCAGAGTCCTGACTGCAGTTATTGGACTTTGTCCTAACCCCTGAGCCCTAAACCCCTAAACCCTATACCGTTATTGGTCTTTTTGTGGGCCTCGCACACTCTATCGTCCACCGTGCGGGTCAAAGTGTGAAACTTTGGACACTGGTGCCCCTAAACCCTAAACTCTAAGCCCTGAAGCCCGAATCCTTACCCTAAACCCTGCTCTCAAAACCATAAACCTTAAACCCTGAACACTTAACCCTCAAGCTGGTGCATGACTGGCGCATCTCAAGCTCGGACTATGCACTTTTCACGTCTTACTGACCCTGAGCCCTGGGCTAGGGTTTGCACGACCCAAGGTGGGAAGTGCTGGTAGGGATGGCTCAATCGAGAATCAACGGTAGGAGTTCGAAGAAGCGAGTGCCCTATGAGCTGCGGTCGAACGGCAGGTGCAGGGGCACTACTATTTTCCTCGGCACAACCCCAGTGCCTTGATCTGTAAGCTGCGAAGCCAGAAGGTTCGCGCTGAGCGGCAAGAAGTGTCCTTTAACACTTGCATGCCCTCTCTTTCCTGGAGTTCAGGAGAAGAAAATTACACACACTCAAATTGGTAAAGAAGCCTGCTCGAGAGGTGTCAGACCGTCCATGCGTCGTCGTCTGGCCGATTTCATCGAAGGATCTTCAACTATTCGCCATCGAAAGTCCATCTTGTAGTAGAGCTCTAGTTCTTTTGCTCCCTTTTTCGTGAGAGCATTGGCGAGTTGGGCCTCCGAGTGGACCCAACGCACCCCTAAGCCCGTGTTCATCTGTGACTCCTTCACGCTGAGGAGCTCCAGGTTCGATTTCTTCTCGGCTCCCTGAATCGTCAACACCGTGTTGTGCAGCTTGTCGTACACGTTCCGGGAGTCAGTAATGATCGTGCCGCCCACCTGCGCCGCTGTGTTCGAGGGATTTTGAAGGTCAACTCCTTGTCCTCTCATCTCGGCCCATTGGTAGCGCATGTAGAACAAGGAGTCCTCCCCATTCACCGCTGCCTGAGTTTCTGATGCCCCTGGGCTGCGGCACACTCTGTCTATCTTCGTTGAGTGCCATGACATAGGACTCACCGTGCACACTTCGCCCTGAAGCAAAGCCCTAGAAGCAGCTCCTATGAAAATCCCTTGAGTGCTGCCCTCATTCCTACGATTCTTGTTCGCCGCATCAACCCACGCGAAGAACTGCATGTCCTCATCTTGGCACCTGTGTATCACAAGCTTGTGGTCCTGACGTTGTCGGGCATACTCAAGCAGTTGGTTAACCTGCAGGATGGTTTCAACTGTGGATTCGCAAATGTCGGAGAGACGCAAACTGACCTCGGCAGCTATGTGGGGTCCGGTTTGTTGGGCGTACCAACTCAACCCTCCTAACAAAGCACGAAGTTGGGATTTTTCACGATCATTGGTTGGGGCTCCCTTCTGTTTCTTCCGGCTACTGCAAACAGGAATCTCAGCCAGGCCATCAAGATAGCGAGGTTGCGTCAACGTAAACCCTTCCGGCACGCTGTTGATCTGAACACCACACTGTGTGAAGTGGTCCTGGTCCCAGTCTCCCCACTTGAATCTCTCTTTAATCAACTGTAACACCTGTTGCCAGCCCTGATCATCATCACGACCCCCAAACATGAAGTCATCAACATGTCCGGTGACCATCCCCCGTAACTGACCCTGAGGTTTCCACACCCAAGCGCAAGCGTCGCTCCACAGCCTAGTTAAGCCTATGCTCTCCATGAACTCGGCCACCGTCTTGTACCACTCCAAAGGAGCATCCACCAAACCGTAGCATGCCCTCTTCAATCGAGTAATGGAGCCTTTTGGGAGGTTCATTGCCGAAAGGATTTCGTCGCAGGGTATACAGAACAGCTCATCAGGATAATCCCGCCCTTGTAAGAACGCCCCTGAAATGTCTCCCTTGCGAATGCGCCAGCCTCGATTCGCAGCAGCTTGGAGGAATAACTGTCGGGTTTGTCTCGTCATGACGGGGGCGGTGGTTGAGCGAAACTCGTATTGGGGGTCTTGATACCCTAGTAGAATGGCCCTTGCTTTTGGCTTCACACTGCCATCGTCTTGAACCTTCCAGGTCAGCAGCCATCGCATACCGATAGCCTGTTCTTTGGCTGGTTGCAGCTCTTTTGGCAATGCTTCAAATGCTTGTGCTGAAATGAAGTTTTTAACTTCCTTGTCCTTGGCGGCTGCGAACTTCTCCCGATCTTCCGCCGATAGCCTCTTTTCACTCACCTCCACAGCCCGACGCTTCAGCATGCTCACCAGATATGCTTGTGCGTCTTTGCAAAACCGCTCTGCTTCCTTCCCGCGCGTGGGAAGGTCAATCGCAATTTCTACAGCTGCTTGTTCGTCGGTCCAATAGCTCGTTTCATGTACTGCCCACGCGGATTCATGCACAAGTTCCGACCAGGCAACACGTTCACGTTCTGGTCCTCGTGGTCCCTGTTGCTCGGCGGTCCTGCGAACTCGACTTGGTTGGTTGTTGCCGCCCTCTTCCTCCATGCCAATGTCGTCATCAATTCCTGGTTGAGGAACTGGGCGTTTCCCGTGAATCCGCATCCGGCTCGGTTGCACTTCTCGAGAGGCGTCCTGAGCTCGATTCCACTCCTCTTCCCGCGGAACCTCGTCACTAATATCTTCATACTGGTTCCCACCTATCTCTTCCGATAACTTCGTGAATGTCCAGGGTGTGGGATCACTTTGAGAAATGGATTCCAAAAGCTCTTCTCGCTGGCTCGCGGGACGTAATTGTTCTGGGGAACACTTTAGCAGTCTCCTGCCGCGGACCAGCCACACAGCATGGCCTGGTCTTGCCTGGCCTGCCTCGGTCTGTCTGGTTTCCATAGCCAAAATCCTTGCCGGGCCCAGAAACCGGCCCTGATTGGTGCCCGGCTGCCTTTTATGCTTCCCCGACTCTTGTGTCCTCCAAAAGAACACCAAATCCCCTGGCCGATAAATACACTTCGCTCGGGTCCTCGAATTCATAGCCCGATTCACACGTTGCTGTGCTTGCCAATCTACAAGTGCCCTCTCAGCCACCGCTCTTCGCTCAGCTTCCTTCTGAAATTCAGCAACAGTGTCATTCAAGATAGGTTCCACATCTTGTGGTCGCACTGTGGGCACATGCCTGTCTGTCGCGTCTGGCGACTGTCCCAAAACATGTTGCACTGGCGAGAAACCTCTCACCATCTCTCGTTGATTGAACGTCGCCACTGACAAGCTCAGCAGTTGTTCCGGAGTCAATTCCGGATCATGCTCATGTAACTTGTTCATCAACTGCTTCACTCCCTGTATGGCCTGTTCCGCGATGCCGATTTGCCAATGTGCTTCCCCAGGAATCACATCCAAATAGATATCGCTTCTATCACAGAAACTTTCTACTGCGGCAGACCTAAAACTCCCAGCCGGATCGAGCCTCAACGTCTTTGGTCGTCCGAATGTTTGGATCCAACCTTCGGAGATGTAGTTTAAACAAGTAGCAGCATTGGGAGTCTGTTTGGAACCTTTGGTCAGGATTTTAGCCATACGGAATCTGGAGCCTTCGTCAATCAACATGAGGAAGTTCTGTTGCTCTCCGGAAGCAGGACATGCCCAGTGGCCTACATCCGCCGTGAGGGTATGAAACTTCGGGGGCAGAGGTTCCAGGGAGGCCATTTGTCTAGGCTGAACCCTTTGTCGTTCGTGGCAACGGGGGCATCGAAACTCTTCAGCCAAACGCAAGACAAGAGGATCAACATTCCTCCGCTTCAGTGCCGTCACCATATGTCGTACACTACCATGACCCGTCGCCGCATGAAGTAGATACAGTTTTCGCTTGATATCCTCTTCCAAGTGAGAACCTCGCTTGGCCCGGGTGTCTTGTGCAACAAATGCTTCACGGTCCTCGCTCTGCAACGGCTTCCGAAAACCCAATCCATCAAGCCACTCCCAATCTTCCTTTGAAACATGCCCTGACCCTCTACTGGAATACACTCCAACCATAATCCTATCTCCCTGCCACGGCTGTACCGTGTGCCACTCGCGCGCGTTGAAGGAAGCCACACGATGCCGAGTCGCCAGAAGATATCCACTTTGCCGTTGTTTGTTGGGAAGTTCTTTACTCTGGGTCCTATAGTGGTGATTAGGAGGATCTCCGGCAACCCACAGTTCGCCATGTTGGTATGGCGTCACTCCTATCACATAGTTCTTCGTGTTGGGAAGATTGTTGGGGTCTTTGTGAATGCCAAGAGTACAATTGTTGTTCACGATCAGACTCGTTCCTACAACCGGTTCGGTGGACCAGTGTTGCACATATTTCAGCAGGTAACTACACACCTGAGGAAGCCTACGGGTCCAATCAGTGATTCCATAATGATTGCCATACGCATACACTCCAAACACGATGTACTGCGGCCGAGTTTGTTGAAAGGCTTTCCTATGTCGGCTTTGTTGCTTGTATGGGAGGGCTTTGAGGATCTGTTCACACGCTTTGTGGTTGTACTGCTGTTTCTGGAGGAGGTCCTGGGCCTTTTGTTCTAAGAGAATAACCTGGGCCTCACTAAAGCAGGCCTCGGGGTCCTCTCCTACTTCATCGGTATCTGGTTCGGCTTCCGCTTCTTGTTCAGGTTCGAGAAAGGACGCTTCGTTGGGTTTCGGTTGGCTTGGCTCCTGTTCCGAATTCCCAATCCCTTCGCTCCTAGCCTCGCTACGTTCCGAACGCAAATCCTGTCGACCCCTCAAACAACTAGCACACGTCCGCACCTTGCCTGGCAAAACCACCTCTCCACACGTACAGAACTCACCTTCCCCAAACCCTTCGCACAGCAGACTCTGTCCTCCACACTCTCGGAGGGTTTCGTGATGGGTGAGCTCTTGAAGGAGAACTCGCGCTATTCGTTTAGCCAGGGCTTCGGGGTACCTACTTTGGGGTTTCTGGGAATCCTCTTCACCTTTCCCATGTTGACTGCCTTTAGGACACGGACACGGAAGCTGGAGACTACTGGCCAACCGTTGGTGGGTAGTTAACACTCTCCATCCTTTTCCCGTCATACTACTACCCAACCTATCCCGAATTCCCAAAGCACACCCACGAACCACAGCCCTCTGAAGACCATACTTCTGTTGGATCCTATTCAACACAGGCAGCCTCCATGCCTCAGACCTGTCGGGCAACTCCAAAGTCACGTGTATCCCCTTCTGAATGGCGTGATGCATGACACATGTTGCTCCGACGTACTCGCGAATTGCTTGTTGGCGCTTCTCATGAAGCGCCGCCTTTTGTTGAGAATCACGCTGGTTGCTGTTTTGATACGGGGAGTAGGGACTACTTTGGGGACTGAGCCAGACATGCAAGGGTTGCTCCACCTCCATGCGCTGTATGATCAATCGCACACCGGCATCTGTCGACAGCTCACAACCATTGAATGCTGCACATGACGTCGCGGCCTGCTCGCTTTTAGCTTGTGTTCGGACCGCGCTCGAAAGTAAGCTCTCGCAGTCACTACACTCCATCAGACACGGTCTATTGTGCCCAATCAAAGACTGGAAAAGTTGGGGTACCACGGACCAAGCCTGATCCTCAAGATTCCGGGCTTGCGCTGAACTGAGATCCCGAACCTTCGCTCTTCTTAGCTCAGCACTTAGCCTCTGAGAAGCACTCATAACACCGCACTCCTCTTCAGAGCTAGCCTCACTCACTTCTTGGGGCTCTCCTTGTTGCTGATCTCCGACATCAGGCTGAAAGAGGAGTCGGTCATCTCCTCGTCCGCTCGGGCCACGGTCTTGCGTGGTCTCTCTGCACGTACCTCTGCAAGCTCCGCGCGCAACATGTCCAGAGCCTCTGCCATGAGCTCCAGCTTCTTGTCCTGTTCCTTCGTGGTGTTCGTGGGATTCACATCGGCACTGCCCCGTGCTCCCGTATCGGACCTTCTTCCGGATGTGCGACTTGGCTTGGGTCCTTTGTCGGTTGTCAGGTAGCCCTGGGACTTGGGCTGCGGCTTGATCTTCACCTCCGGCTGTTGCTCCAACCACTTGGCTAGACGGGCCAGTCGATGGTCCACTCCGGCATCCCCCGACTCCTTGTAGGTCGTCTTCACCCACTGCGCATACTCCGGGAACTCCCGGTGGATGGTGATGTACCGCTCCTTGGAGTGGCACCCGAAGCCCACGAAGTCGCCCGGTTCCGCCTTGCTGGTCTTCATGATGACCTGGAGGGCCTTGCCCTGCAGGATCGCCATCGTCTCGTTGCCGGTCAAGTCCATGTTGAGGGTCTCCCGACAATGGGAGACCAATGTATCCTTCTTCCGGGCTGCCTTGCGCAGCTCCTTGTTCATCATCTCCATCTGGGTCATGGTCGCCGGCTCCTCGCTGTCGGCTAGGCCCTGTGAACGAAGTTCCCGCAGTCGCTGTTCCATCTCCATGCACGTCCATCGCGCTGGAGCCTCCTCGCCCAACTCCAAGAGCTCCGCCCGGAGATCGGCTTTGGTGGCCTTCGGCATGTTGGCGCAGTAGAGGAACTGGTTTTGGACTCGCGGTGGGGTCTTGATCTGAACCGGCTGCGGCCCATGATGTACCCGTTCTGCTGGAACTGGCAGTCGTCGTCGCTCCCTGCGTCGTCGCTCTCTGCACAGACTCATTTACCAATTGAACCGAATTAGCATTGCAAACACCAACACTACTGCAATCATCACTCCTGAACTCCTGTGTGCTGCCTAAAGCAGCTGTGCTCAGAGTGGTTTTCACCCCTGATTCCGATTGCACTTGTACCTTCACAGCCTCCCCGGAACTAGGAGGAGGAAGGAGATGTCCCTAGGCCTGTGGCTGAGTCAGATCCTTCAGACTCGGAACCGCACATGTGGCGGCCAGGCTGTTCTTGAAGATGTCTTCTGTCAGTGGTAGTAACTGATGTCCTGTTTGGGACCGTTCTACCTGGATCAATTTCCGATCATCGAGGGACCTAAAGCATACCAAATCTGATTCAAAATCTATAACGGCTTTTAGCCGTCTCAAAGTGTCCACAGACAACAAAAGCGGCCCTGAGCCTTGGTCTAAACAATGTACAGTCAAGGCACCAGGCTTCTCATCTGCGCGGATGGCCAGCTGAACGGTCGCCGTGCATTTGTTGGTCGACCCATTCCCGAACCCAAACGTAGGACAGTTGTCTTTGTCCACCTTCAAGAGCCCGTTGTGTCCGGAACGCTTGGCATTGAGGTCCATGATGGCCTCCATCGCTGCGCATGAAGCCAGAGTTCGAGTGGCCCCGCCGTCAATCACGGCCTTCCCTTGATGCATTGCCTCCATCGTGCTGATGCCTGCCGCATAGGAGTGCTCCTCGAGGTCCGCCGCCAGGGAGAGCTCCACGTCGTTATAGCAGATGAAGGAGGAGGTGGCGGTCACTTCCTCCGCAGACTTGGCGGCCTGAACAGGTTGAGGACAGTTGGCCACTCTGTGGCCTAACACTCCGCACCGAAGACAGTGGATTTTGGTGTCGTCTCTGGGTTTGTGCGGCTCCTTGCCCTTGTTCCCTGCGCCGCCCGCATTGGTGCGAAAGTATTGGCGGGATAGTCTCACATTGGACTGTCTTTGACGAGCCTCCCGCAAGGTTCGCTTGGCAGTGTGCATCGCCGCCATGGCCTCCTGAGCCTCGTTCTCCGCCATCTCCCAGTCCTCAAGCTCCTCGTCCGGCAGGTCGCCCAGGAACCCGTCATCCTTGTACTCATCGTTCTCCACGTCGGGGTCCTGGTACTCCCCGAGGTAGCCGCTGTTGCGTCCAGCGTACTCCTTCCGCTGGTGGTCCAACACCGAACATTGATTCCTGAGCTCCTGAGCCACACGCGCCACAGAGAAGTCTCCCTGCAACGCCGTCTGCACCACGTTCTTTTCGGCCCCTGAAAGGCCTGAGTCATGTAGGAGGTACCACCCTTGAACGTAGTCCGGTAACAACTCCGGAATGACGGGGGCCTCGCGGACACTCTGGTGTCCCCATGGCCGATAGCCCCACGCCCAGCTGGAGCTCCACGATGAATTGTAGCTCCAGTTGCTGCTCCCGTAGGACCATTGATCATCTCGCCATCCACTTCCACCATCCTGGTCCTGGTGCTCCTCGGTGGCCTCCTCGGTCTCGGCATTGACCTCACCATTTCCCGCCGCCTCTGCAGAGAAATCGCTCTCTCTGCTGTTCCGGCGACTTGCGCTCCAAGTAGGCGTCCACTGCCCCGCTGCCGTAGTTGCCTGAACTTTCTTCTTCTGGTGAGGTCGCACTCGTTGGTAGGCCTGACACGCACGGAGGTAAATCTCCGTCTTCCTCGAGATGTAGTCATTCACACTCTCGCCCGATCTCCTCCTGGATCCCTTGAAGTAGCGGCTCAGGTGGTCGGTGAGGTCCGACACCTGTGGACGTCCCAGGCTGGCACGGAGGTGTGCCAATAGGTCCTCCACTCCCTTGGAGTGCGACAGCCAACTCGGGTGTCGTCCGGCCACGTACCGCTTTGCCGCTCCCGTCAGGTTCGCTGCTAACTTTGGTCCGCACAAGTAGCGCTTTTCCCAAG